ATCTACCATTTTAACATGTTTCATATCGATTCACATTAGAATTGTGAAATATTGATTTATTTATCTTTAAGAATATTATTCTGGGAATATATTGTTACATAGACAGTTCAGTTCATTGAATATTGTGTTCTTAGTAAAGCAATGTAACTTATTCCAGACTAACCAAAACATTTTTTGATTGAGATCATGAACCGATTGATGCAAGACCACCGTTGAAAACCTGTAATCATTGGACGGCCATTTCGTCCTATTGTGAGACTCCTCGGCAGTGCACATCCATGATCCTGAAAGCGGGATTCGAACCCAGGGTTTTCAATCTTTCACGCGAACGCTTAACCTACTGGACCACTGAGCCGGCCTAAAATCAACCAATCCACGAAGTTGTATGACCATCTTCCATTGTACTGAGGTAGATATCCGTTTCTACCCGACACGGATCAGCTCTACTGGTTAAAAAATTACTCATCAAGTTGATATTTTCTAATCATTAATTATTATGTAATATTAGTTTTGTGAATGATTTTCTACTTATCCTTTAATATTAAAGTGTCTGATCATATTGAAACTCATATATATAAATCTTTATCCGATCCCATTTAGTTCAACTATAAATATTTTGAATATAATATGTTAATAAGTTTACAATTCATCCTCATGAACTGTTCTAAAGCCTAAAACTAGTAATCACATGTAAATAATAAATCAAACAACAAGTTTTTAAATCTATACTTTCGTTAATGCCCATTGTTACTGATAAAAACGATGGTAGCAATAATAATAATAATCACTACTATTATTACCATAACACTCGTAAACATTCACTATTGAATAATCATTTAATCATTCAAACAACAGAATCTTAAATTTCTCATCCCTAATAATATCGATAAAAAAGGGATAATATAAATAAACAGATGAATATGAAATACAAGCAAACCATCAAGTTTATTGACACTTAAATCTATATAAACATATAGATTATATTTGTTTTATTCATCATCTATTTCAGCTGAGATAGTCATTTTCATATTAAAGAAAAAATAGATGAGCTTTTATTTATTATTACTTTTTTGTGTGTTAATTTTGACAGGTTCATAAAGAATTATTCTAATCCTTTTGTTTTCTAATCTCTTTCTCTCTATCTCTGTTTCTATCTCACTCTCGCTTTCTTGCTCTCTCATTACCTCTGTCTGTGATTCTCCCAGTCATTATTTTGTTACAACTTTATTAAAACATAACATATATTATAATGATAATCATAATAATAACACACAAGAAGAAAATCTACTCTGGATTAAATAGATGGAAATAATAATAATTTGAAAAGATGGTTGTTTTAATTGTTTGGATAAAACAATAATAATAATAATCACACCAATTAATGGAAACGTAGGTTTTATAATGAACACTTATAATTATGTCACTATGGAAAACTATCACTGAAATTATTAAATGTTTGTTTTGAATTAAAAATTAGATTGACTTTGTTTTATGATACATATTTGTTTATAATGACATTGTTTAAATGAATAAAATAATTATATTGGGTTCATTGATGAATGATTGAATGTTTAAACTATAGATATCAGTTCAGAAATGTCATTTTAGTTAATGTTCTATAGGATTACGAATAAGTAACCTCACTGTCACTAGGTATAACAAGTTTATTAGTATTATTATCATCCTGAAAAGTAACTATATGTATTAACGATTGTACAGCTTTGAAAATGAATTCACCGAAAAGAGAACTCTTCGCTGAACTAATCTTTCTTATTTAATGTCTTGATGGGTGTATTCCGTTTACTGAAGAATAAGTAAGTGTTGAAAAGAGCTAATTTATATCTAACCTATTGGAGGTCGTAGTTAAAATCAACTTTTTTTTGTTATTTTAAAAAAGGAGACATTGATAAAAAAGACACCAAGTACTATTCGTAAATAAAAGTGTAAACTACCTGTTGTTGTTTTGGTTTTTTATTTATAAATCAAGTCTACTATTTTCTTTTTCTGAAGTTAAGCATATGTCTATCAATGTTTTATTATAGACATATGTAAGTTTTGATGAAACTTTTCCCACGTATTAGGTTTATTTATTGTTTATTTGTTTTGCGATATATACGTCATCATCTTAAGAAAATATTGAATAGGATTTCTGGGATATATCAAAAATACTTTCACTAATTAATTCTGATAAGATAATGAAGAATGTATACATTGAATTGATATTTTCATAGGTTTGTTATAATATTAGATTCATAATCATAAATGATTATTTGTTTATCTTTATATATCTAGAATGTCATAAATATGAGAAAAAGAAAATAATTGCTTGTTTAAAGATGAGGTAATCAATTTTACCCAGTTTTGTTTGACACTTACTTACGTCTGTTACTCCCAATGGAGCATATACCGCCGACCAGCATTCTCCAACCCACTCTGTCCTGAGCCTTCCTTTCCATTTCTGTCCAATTTTTGTTCACTTTTTTTCGTATCTGTATCCATTTCTGGGCGTAATATGTTCTTTGGTTTTCCTCTTTTCTTTTTTCTAACACTAAATAGAAATAATAAAAGATTAGTTGTTACTTGAGAATATAAAACTACTGGAATCATTATTTGAAGATACTATGTCTTTTCATCAGAAAACTAAATCGAAAAATTTTGTAACTAACATGAATCCAGTAGTTGATTTGTAGTTTTTATTCGTCGGACACTTCAACAGTTTTAGTATATTTAAACTAAAGGTGCATTTCATAAAATCGGAAGCATTAGTCATGATCATCACTGATTCAGTTTACTTGATGTTTTCTTTTACACTTTTCTGAAGTAACTCTGAAAATTGCTGTTAAGTGAAAGGTTACATTTCATTTTGACTATTAAATATCGGACTGTGTTGTTTCTTTTATTTTACGCAACAAAAAATTATTTTATAGGTTTAATTAAGTAGAAAAGTATTCATAAAGTCAAATAATGTCAGGTTACAATTTGACTAGTGATAGACATAAAATATCAGCTTGAATGATTTTTCAAACAATTGACTCTTGGAACTGATCAAATTTCATAGGTTGTATTCAATTATTATGGTCCTTTAATAATCAACTCATTATATCCCCCGAGTTCGAAACTAAGTGAAGTTTTGTTTCAAATGATTAATAAACATGTGTATTTGAGTCTTTAAAGAAATCAATATATCCACCACCTCGCTTCCTGCAAGATTCGAACCCAGGACCTACTGGTTTCGAGCGCGAGCACTTAACCACTAGACTATTGAGCTGGCATCCAACGATGTTAATGTTTAACTTCAACTAATCCATGAAATTGAGCGACACATCCACCACTGCCTTCAGTGAGTCGATATCTCACAACAGACCTGGTTGAACTCTACTGATCACTGCTTCCCACTAGAACTCCAGAAAGTACCTCTTGAAGTCAGTCACTAGTGAGCATATGTTGATTAACATCAGAAGGTGTTTCGTGGATATTATATTAATTTCAATAGTTAAGTTCATGAGTCAATTGAAGATAGACCACCGTGGAATACCTGGAAGCACTGAACGACCGTTTCGTCTTATTGTGAGACTCCTCAGCAATGCGCATCCACGACCTCGCCCCTCGTGAGATTCGAACTCAGGACTTACTGATTTCTAATTTACTAGTTGATAACTGGTAATTATATTCAAAATCAAATAGACATTATTTTTCATTAACAAATTGTTTCCAGTCGTTTCTTTTGAAATTTAGCATGACCTGTACTTAAAACTATTTCTACTGATCAATAGGTTAAAATCTTTGTTTCAATGACTTATTATTAATAAATAATGGGTTAGATTAAGTTTTATGATTTATAATTCTACGCATAACACTCACCGGTACATTATAGATGATATAAATCACTTATTAATATATATATAAACTTTAAAGTTAAGAATTAGATACAAGTATACACATGTCAGTACATGTACAATATAAAATTGTTATCTTGCTTAACCCCAAAAGATAATCAAAAATTAAAATGAACTTATCATGAACTAAATTATATATTTGTATATAGGGTGTATGAGGTTAAGAAAATAATGAAATCTCAAAATGAATTTTGTTTTAAATTTTATTTTTATAGAATCATCTTTTTTTTTCAACTTGGCAACACGTAGACATATGTCATCAACTAGAAAAACATTGAATATTGAATGACCATAATCACTGAATAGATATAGATTGATGACTTCATTTAGAATTAGGTCAAACAATAGAAAATGTTTCAAATAATAGAAATAAATAACTTTTTATAAAGGCAAAATTAATTGCATGTTTTATTATTTATTATGTATTTATTCTTTAAATAAATGAAGATTAATAGGACATTTCATCTTTATAGTAATCAACAAAAAAATTATATTCATTTAGTGGTGTTTACTTGAATCTCCCCATTGATGTTTAAGACTGCAATTGATTAGTCTCTTATTGGCATATATGCATACTGTAAGTATTGCCTCGATATTGTCTTAATTCACAAGCATTATAAGCAAAAATGGATAATGGCTAACTGTGGAATCGAGGACACACGTTTCGTTCTATTCGGGACTTGTCAGCTGGATGTACCTGTTGGACTCTAACCCAGTACCATTCGCTTCAAACGTCATAGCGTTATCCATTTAGCTACTGAGTACTGATCTCAGGTACGTGATGCAGGTACATCCAGCTGACGAGTCCTAAATACGACGAAACGGACATCCTAGATTCCACTGCTAGCTACTATCTAACGTTGCTTATGAAAAATTATATTCTTTTTATTAATCTTAACAAAATAAATTATGAATGATAAATTTGATCATTTTGATGTTTGACTATATTTCCTTGAGATTTTTACAATAATATAACTTTCTTCCTTTAGGCACTTTACTATAAAGTGAATAAACATGATGGATATAATCACATCTCTTTAGTAGTGTAAATTTTGTAAACAACTTTTTTTTTGTAGTAATATTAGTTAAAGTGAAAACAATTACCAAACTGATAAGGAATATCAAAAGTTGCTGCAAAACGATTAGATAATTTTGTTTTCGAATCTCCCGTAAAAATCAAAGAATAATCCGTTATATTCATGATTCAATATAGAATAAGCTATCTGAGAAAATGTTAGTTAAAAAATCAAATCTCAAATGAAATCTGATCAAGAGAACAGTTCCATAGTAATAACTGGTAAAGTGTCATTAAAGTTAATCGGAGATAATTACTGTCAATAATCTTAACAACTTTGTTTAATGCTTTATTGATTATCATCTTAGTGGAAAATAATGTCTGCTAAAGTTATTTATAGAGTTTAGTATATAAGTATTTATTAATACGAAGAAATTTGACCGATTATTTTCCACTATTCTTTAATTAGACATGATTAATAGATAGACACTATAGGTAGAAAATGGGGGGGAAGGTTTATTTCAATAAATATTTATTAGAATAAATAAGGACTAGTAAAGAATAAACAAAATGTTATTCGTTATTTAAGTTCACTTATACATAGTTCTACTATATATATACGTTCAGCTTAAACTATGATGGCACATAAATCTATTTGTATACTTATATAAGTGTTTATATTACTAAGTAACCAAACGTTTATTAGTCATTCGGTGATTTAGTTGTCATTTGATCAAGAGAAAAAGACAGATAATTAAGATACTTTGATCAATTTCAGTATATAAAAAAAGAACAAAGGCACAAAATAAATCATTGAAATGTATTAGCAAATATATAAATTTAAAAGAATTAACTGATTTTAAGAAAAATAAATAAATTTGGTTTGTTTATTTTTATTTCTTTAAACAGCGGAAAATATAGGAGTCTATAATTATTTACTTTAATCATTCAATATGGTAATTATTTAATTTCACGGATTGAAATCATGAGTCAATTGAAGCTAGACCATAATGGAAAAATTGGAAGTACTGGATGGCCGTTTCGTTGTAGTATGGGACTCCTCAGCAGTGCGCATCCACCATCCCGCACCCCCTCCCGCGAGATTAGGACCTAGGACCTATCAGTCTCGCGCCAAGCGTTTAAACAACTAGACCGCTGAGCTGGCCGGCATCCAATGGTGTTAATGTCTAACTTCAACCGATCCATAAAGTTGCGCCACCGTACACCATTGTCTTCAGTGAGCTGATATCTCACAACAGACCTAATTGAACTTCACTGGTGACGGCTTCTCACCAGAACTCCAGGAAATGCCTCTTGAAGCCAGTCACTAGTCAGCAGATGATTATTATCAAAAGGGGTTTGTGGAGATTTTAGAAATTTCACAGATTGAAATCATGAGTCAATTGGAGCTAGACCACCATAGAAATTATTTAATTGTAAATATGGATTAGTTTTGTCATATTTTTTGGTGTATAATGATGATAATGAAAATATTGTATTTGAATATTGACTAGAGACTTTTTACTGTGTGTGTAGTGAAGTAAGCATATATGGAATTTCTTATCAGGTTCTACAATTATCTCTAATCTAAATTAATAATCCATAAAATTGGTCAGATTGAAGGCAGAGAGTACATCATTTAAATTGTAATATGTTTGTCATCTAAAATCAAATCAAATCGTTAATGTTGGGGCTGACTAATATAAAGTTATATTGGCAGATGTTCTAGGAATTTGTGCATTCGGGCTCCTGAGCACCTCCTCGTACGGTTTAAGCAAAGGTGTAGTCAAAATGGTTAACAGCTCCATTTTAAACCATCTGGTTCCAACAGAACATACAGGCAACGTGGAGCAATCTTTCGCAATAATATATCGTGTTAACAGCAGTCTATCTAATTCCGTCAGACTGAGAATCCTACAGACGGCTGAAGCAATTGCTATTCGGATCAAAAAGCCAGAGCTTTGCATCGAAAAGAAATATGCTCAGTCACTCCTCTTACCATGGCCAACTTTAGGGTCAACTAGTTGATAGTCAGTCTTATAATATGGTGACGTAATTTGATTAGTGTTCATTTTTATGTTCCAAACATATTATTATTATCTTTATCAAGACACTGATCACCACCCAGTGATCAATCAATTGTAATTACATCTCAGTCCTACAGGAGGTTAGTCACGGCTCGGATAGCTCAATGGTAACGTCTCTGACTGTGAAGCTGGGTGACATGAGATCGAATCCGCCAGGGAGCACCAGTTCCCTCAAGATTACAGGTACACCTTACTGACATTTGCCAAATAGCACGAAACCCGGGTCCAGGGTTTCCTGTTGACTACCTCCAACTACCATCTAAATTATCTTTATCATTGTTATTACTATCATTACACTTGATAACCTTTTTGAGGAATTTATTCAGTATCCACCCCTAAATCTACTATATCTGACCTAATTCATATTATTCTACGTATTACGTAATTTCCGATTTTTATTCTATTATTTTCTCTCTCATCTCATGTTGACCATATTTATTCTGATAATTTATAACACAATTTTATTTCGTTTATAAACTGATTCAAGTTAACACTTCATATCGATCAGTCCCAACATTAACGATTTGATTTGATTTGATATAACAAACAATAATGCTTGATTCACATATTACAATTTCCAAATGATGTACTCTCTGCCTTCAATCTGGCCAATTTTATGGATTATTAATTTGGACATGAGATAATTGTAGAACCTGATGAGAAATTCATTGAAAAGAATATTCTTCATTCATACAATTGTGTTTTAATATAGTCGGAATTTTTCTATGATATATGGAATTATAATCAAGCAATCAACTTCTAATTGTGTATTAGAAATACAGAAAATAAATAGTACTTGAAGAATATTTTTTGAAGAGATTTGATGACCTAGATTTCAACACACATCTATTTTAACCTCAAAATAATTTATAATATTTTTCGAATAGTAACCGATACTTGATTCCGGTAGTTTCTTCCTATTGGATATCAGTTATTGTATATATTTACATATAACTTAAGGTTCATATTGCATAGATATCGATTATTTAAACAATCCTGTAACAGAAGAAAAGATGAAAATTGTTAGATGACCATGTAGTGAAAATAATCTACTTATAAATAATCAAAACCTACTATAAGAAATGAGTTTACAATCTATTTAGATTAACCGTGAACACTATTTTAGCATCACTCAGTTTGACAGGTACAGTGCATTTCTACCGAAATATCAAACAAAATCTGTTCACATAACTAAAACTGCTCATACCTCACAAGATAGTTCACTCCTCTTTGTTGTAACACTAATAAAAGTCATGAAAATAGCCATTAATGTGTAAGTAAATAACCGTGCCTCTAGAGATTGTCACTTAAAGAAATCTAACTTCACAGACTAAATATGTCAATAAATAGCCACACAATAAGCTGGCTTTATGACAGCTGCTATTCCGCATCAAATTCATTCACAAAACTACAGTTTTGTAAACTCATTATTAATATCATGAAAATCTGTGATATTATTACTTAGATACACTAACACATAATACTGTCATGCACAATTATACAATACTGTAAAATTGAATTTTTAAGACTAATTATTTCAGTTTACAAATCATTATTACTTACTTACACCTGTTACTCCCAACGGAGCATAGGCCGCCCACCAGCATTCTCCAACCCATTCTATCCTGGGTCTTCCTTTCCACTTCTATCCAATTTTTGTTCATTTTTCTTATATCTGTATCCATTTCTTAGTCTAATGTGTTCTTTGGTCTTCCAGTTTTCCTTTGGCCTCGAGGATTCCATGTGAGGGCTTGTCTTGAGACGCGGTTGGATGTTTTCCTCAATGTGTGTCCTATCCACTTCTAGCCCTTATTCTTGATTTCTTCCACTGGGATCTAGTTTGTTCTCTCCCATAGTAGGTTGTTGCTGATAGTGTCTGGCCAACGGATCCGAAGTATTTTGCGTAGACAGCTGTAAATAAACACGTGTATCATCTGGATGGTGGCTTTCATAGTTCTCCAGGAGCCCTTTTAGAGTTACTGCCAGTCCTAAGCCAGAATAAAGGAGAGGAGTCAGGCATAGGGTTAGCGACTTCAACTCGTAGAAAACTAACTCGCTAAAAATATGCTAACCAGAAAATATTATTCAAAATTATTTAACCCATACAAATCAATATACAACTTTATAATGAAAAAAGATCTTTGTTTTATTCATGAACAGGTTTTACATGATACAGTTTGAACCAGCTATCCAGGATATATGCTAAACTAATTTTTATAATTATACAAATGACCGTATAGCAAGAGAATATTTTCTTTATTTTTTATAACTAACTTACTATTGTTAGTTGTCAAAACGTATTATTCTTGTGATTTTCGCACTCTAGTTTTCATAATACCCATAAAGAAGATTAAATTACTATTTTGATTCGTGAATTGTAGAAAGTTCATAAAGTGTAAAAACAAAATTTTATTAACTTTCTCAAAACTTTGAATTTATCAATGATCTGGAAGCAGTGATCATTTTAGACTTATATAAACCTGGAAATACTGAATTATTCACTTATTTTAAAATGGATTGATAAAGAAAAACTATACTCTAAAGAACACTGGAATCTAGCCCTGAGCATGATATAATTTAGATAATAGATTATTACTCACAGGTTTTGAATTAAGTTATCTGTATTACAGTACAAACAGCATCTATATTTCCTAGTAGGTATCCGTTTGAGATAGCAAAGTGATTGTTCTAACTACTTACTGATATCGCTACAACTATGGAATCGCTTTTTGAAAGCAAGATCTTTGTGAGGATTGAACTGTGTAAAATTTATCAAACTTCAAGTCAACTTTATACATTTAAGTTACACTCTTATCATATTTTTCGATTGAGAAAGGACCAGGCTCTTTAGAATGTAATCTTTTTAATGTAATAACTGACTTCATTTTGTCAGAGACGGGACTGTCAGCCTAGTGGTTTTTCATGAGTCACGACCTACACCATAAATCGTCGTACTAAAGTTTGGCAAAATCCCTATTCTACAGATAAATGAAGTTTTATTTCATAGGGATACAATTATGAAAGATTTGAACCACATGAATACAAGTTATCATGTTTTATTTTCTTTCTATTAAGAATTGTCCGCATCGGTTCACTTGA